CGATAACGCGCCTACGGGTCATTCTTCCGAGGGCTTTACGGAGGTCATTATCGGCGCCACCGACCGTGAAATGTCCCGACCCGCAGCCCTCATGCACCAGGCGCAAGGATTCAGTCATAATATGTAGGCCTTCTCTCCCAATCTTTTGAGCACTAGCCGCAAACGGCGCTTCTTGGCACTTCATCGCGACACGTCCAGGTGCCGAAGCGGCTTCCCAGCTCACCACCTCGCCTTCTCTGTCGCCCTCCTGGCCCAGGCCCATCAGTACCAAGCCTAATATGTCCCAGACCGCACTTATCTTGGGTGATGAAGCTCACTCTGGCTCATACCACGGCTCTTACGGCCTCACACACGCCCGTTTCACCCACAGACACCGCCGGCACGCACTCCCACTTCACACACGCTCAAGCACAACCCCATCAAAGCACAGCCCTGCTCATAATTGACAAGGGCTACCACTTGGTGGCCCTGGTAGCCTCTGGATCGTCACTGCACTCGGCTCCTCTGCAGCGGTCTCGGCTCTCGCCACGACAGCACGCCGACGGCAAGCTTTGAGGTCCGTCTGGTGGACCTGCTGTGGCCAAAGCCGCCCCTCACATGCAGCTCGCACCAGACCTCGACACTGGGCCCGCTCAGCTTGGTCGTGGCGGCGTGTGTGAAGGATGCGCGGCCGAGCCGCTGGCGCTGCTACAGCGGCGCGAGAAGCAGGCAGCGGCGCGACACCCGGTCGGTCGAGTCTGGCCGTTCTCTCGACGCCGGCCGGTGAGACTGACGGCCTGTGGCCGGCTGGTGGGCGGAGAGCAGCCAGGAGGACTCCAGAGTAGCCAGCAACATGAAGCAACGGGAGAGCGCACAGCGAGCGCAAACACAGCTCTGAGAAAGGGCGGCGAGTGGGGCTTTAAGGATAGGAGTGTGTGCTAGCCGTCGCCCACCCTAACCCTTGGTCGTCTGCCTCTTCCTATCTCTCTTCACAGTCCCTCACCGATTCTCGCTGCGCAACCTTCAAGCTTCATGCCACCTCGCGGTCGTCCCACTCTCGTCGTTCTCTCTCCTGTCGCTTCATCCTCTGTCGCGTCGCTCTTTTCTGCCTCGTTCTGCGACGCCGCCGCCGCCTGCCGATCCCTTGCTCTCGCTGCTTCTCACGCCTCTCGGCGTAACTCCGCTCTCCTCGCAGCGTACTTTGGCCTGAGGGAGGGTGTAGAGGATATAGAGTGTAGAGCGCTGTAGAGCTGTAGAGATGTAGAGCGCTCTGGAGCGCTGTAGAGCTGTAGAGCTCTACATCCGGCGCGGGACAGAGCGATGCAGATGTAGAGCGATGTAGAGGCGCTCTACAACGTGAAATCTCTACAACAAACTCTACATCATAAGCGGGGGCGAACGAGGCACGGTCGCCCTCACGATATGAGGCGCGTTCACTTGCCAGTGCGGCCCTGGCCTTCTGTCTGGTGTCTGCCCGCCCAATGGGTGGCAGGTGCCTCTGCTGCTGTGGCATGCCTCACGGCTGCGACTGGCCGGCGCCTCGGCGCGTCAGCTCGGCTCGACGTAGCGATAGTGGCCAGCGCAACTCGCCTGGACTCAACGCTCAGCCAGGAGCTCCCGCACGCGCTGGCGCGAGTCATGGTGCATGCAACGCGCCTGAATGCTCGCCTCGCCTCGCGCAAATGCGACTGTCCTCGCAGCCGACAGTCCACCGCCTTGCTAAAGAAGCACTGCGACGAATGCGGCACCGGCGGCACATGGCAGGCTGGTCATGACGCAGTTATAGGGTGTTGTGTGCCGTCGGAGTGACTCTCCTGTGTGTCAGGGATAGTCAGGGCTGTCCATCAGAGCTCCAGTAAGCTCGGAGACACCCCATTAGCGCGGCTCGACCTCTTTGAGTCACTGCCTTCCCGGCGGTTTGGCCGTGTAGAGCCTCTACAACAAACTCTACAGCAAAATCGCGCTCTATATCGCTCTACAACGGAGGCGCTTCGTCCCGCGGCGGATGTAGAGCTCTACAGTTCTACAGCGCTCCAGAGCGCTCTACATCTCTACAGCTCTACAGCGCTCTACACTCTACATCCTCTACACCCTCCCTCAGACTTTGGTTGGCCCCTCGAGTTTATCCAAGCTCTCCTCGCGCAAGGACGACTCTTCTGACACCCACTCCGATCATTTGCCGCCAAGTCATGTCGTTGCTCAGGTCCACTCTCGTTTCGGACACTTGTACCTCCACAGATGGTGTTGGCATTGGGGTCCCCTTCGGGTGCACCGTTACAGCTGACGACGGGATTGCTAGTGGCGTATCGTCGTGGACGATTCGTCTTCCGGACTCCTCCCGTTCGGCGTGACTCACCCTCCATACCGTAAACAGGCGCCCCATCCATGGTATGCTCTTCTCTGAAACGAGGGAATCAAAAAGCAGCGACAGCATCTGGTCCATCGCCAGCGTTGTCGATCAAACCAGAGCACGGTCCGGTCCTCTGCCCGACAAGTACGGCGACGCCGCCACTTTGGCAACACCGCCGCTTGCCCCTCGGCGCGTCCGCCGCCGCCAGCGGCGCAAGAAGCTCCGCCTCCCGCTCGACGCACTCCTCCTCCCGCCTGCGTTTCATCGCGGCCGGTGCCTCGGCCTCCGCCTGCTTGAGCTCCGCGCGCCGGCGCCCCGCCTCGCGCAGCGACGCCCTCGAGGGCGGCAACGCCGGACGGTACAGCTGCTCGACGTCGGCCCCGGCCGGCGCCGCCACCGTGCTCAGCACGGGCACGGGCCACGCCTCCCTCGTCGCCGCCCCCCTGCCTTCGCGGCCGTCGCGTTGTGACGTCCTGTCGACTCCGCGGCTTGCGCGCTGCGCCGCCCGGCCGCTCGCCAGGAGGGATGCCCCACGCCCCACCCACGTCAACGGGTTGGTCATCACAGCTCTGGCGTGCTCGACCTCGCGACGCCTAGGATGGCAACGCATCAGGCTGCAATCGGGACGCTCCGGGCCGGGGTGTGCAGCCGGCGCGTCGCCTGGCGCTTGCCGGCCGCCTCCCTCAAACGCCTACAATGCCACACGCGAAATCCCTCCTCAGCGTCGCGCCTGCCTCTTCCGCGGCCGGGCGAGGTGGCGGGACCTGCGGGGCCGAGCCCGCTCCGTCCGAGCGCCCCCACCGCCCGCTCCGCCGCGCCCGCACGCGACGGCGAAAGCGCTGCGACCTAGCGTGACGTGCAACCTCGAGCGATTGGTGTGCCGATTACATCGGTGTGCGGTTACATCGGTGTGCCGATTACGACAAATGGTGTGCCATCCCCCCCCGCACACCGCACAACGCACAACAGGTGCTCGTCTTTCCCCTTGTCGGACTAAGAACAGCCAACACAACACACAACAAGTGCTCGTCTTTTCTCCTCTGATACAAAGAACAGGCAACAAAAAGAAAAAAAGTGGTGCTGGCTGCATTCCACCATTCTCTTCGATCGATCACGTTTTGCCGCTCCTGCCTGAGGAGCTCACGTTTGTTCGTATTGAGGGCCTAGTCCGTAAAGCACCGCCGCACACGACCAGGGCGTCGCCAATCGATCGTCCCCCGCCGCCCGCTCCGCCGCTCCTCCCTCCGTAGACGACCATACATCACACATTCCCCCTCCTTCAGACGCTTCAGACTGCGCGACGCCCCCCCCCCCCCCCCTCCCTGCAACCCCGGGTGAGTGCCCCCCCCCGACCCCCCACCCACCCCACCCCCACCCGCATTTCGCCCACCGCCCGCCGCACAACACGCAACACACAACGCACAACACACACACCCCCCCGCACACCGCACACCACCACAACACACAACACACAACAAGTGCTCGTCTTTTCTCCTGTACTATAAACAACATACAAGTGCTCGTCTTTTCTCCTGTCATATAAGGAACACACATTCTTTTGGCACCGGAGGGCACCTCGGGTCATCAAGCAAGAGTGTGCGCGTGGTTTTAGCGATAATGCTGTCTCGGCGTGCAGGGTCGCTGATGGCGCCTGTCCGGGCGACGAGCAGGCGCCTCGCCTCGTCCAAAATCATGTACACGCACACGGACGAGGCACCGGCGCTGGCGACCTATGCCTTCCTCCCGGTGAGCGCCCTCTCTCGCTCTCGCCGCGGCCACTCCCGCCCCCAGCCTCCACCAGTGAGAGGATCATCGCGCCTCAGACGAAGGAGCGAGCCTCGTGACGGCCGTCCGAAACTGCCAGGGCATTACTTTCGAACTCGGCTCGAGGCGTGACGCCACCACTGCCGCAAGTGGCACGCCGAATGGCGAAATGGGCCGACATTGAGCTCGAGCTGGCCGACATCTCGGTCGCCGGGCGGATCCTCGGCGCGTTTGCCGACGTCCTGCCGCCCGAGCAGCGCAAGCCCGACACGCTCAGCGAGCTCGGCAAGCTCGCAAAGACTGCGGAGGCCAACATCGTCAAGCTTCCGAATGTGTCTGCGTCTGTGCCGCAGCTGGTGGAGGCTGTCGCCGAGCTGCAGGCCAAGGGGTTCGCGCTGCCCGATTTCGTGCAGTCGCCGAGCACCGCGGCGGAGAAGGACGCGTACAAGCGCTACGCTACGGTCCTCGGCTCGGCCGTCAACCCGGTCCTGCGCGAGGGCAACTCTGACCGGCGCGTCGCGCCGCCCGTCAAGGCGTACGCGCAAAAGAACCCGCACCGGCTGGGGAAGTGGAAGCCGGAGAGTCGGACGCGCGTGGCGCACATGGAGGATGGCGACTTCTACTCCTCCGAGCAGTCCCACGTGCAGGGGCCCGCCGCGGGCTCGGTGCGCATCGAGCTCGTCAAGAGCGACGGCTCGATCGAGGCGCGGCTCGCGCTCTCACCGCCGCCCTCGCCGCCGCCCTCGCCCTGCCGCTCGCACCGCCGCTCTCGCCCGCCCTCACTGCTGCCTTCGCTGCCACTCTCACTGCCGCCTTCACCGCCGCGCTCGCCACCGCCCTCAACGCCACCGCCACCGCGCTCGCCGCCGCCGGCCTCTCCGCCCTCGCCGCCGCCCTCCGCGCGGAGCAGTCCTGCGGGGGAGTCGGGAGGAGAGCGGGCAGCGCCCTGCCGCATCGGCTTGACGCGCCGAGTGGCGCCTCGCAGGTGCTCAAGCCCGAGGTCAAGCTCGAGGCGGGCGAGGTGATCGACTCCACCCGGATGGACGTGGCCAAGCTGCGCGCCTTCTACGAGGCGGCGCTGCAGCAGGCAAAGAGCGAGGGCATGATGGTCTCGCTCCACCTCAAGGTGGGCGGACGCTGTAGCGACGCCTTCCGAGACCGTCACTGCGTTAGCTGGACTGCATCCGGACACTGCCGCGACCGCCCTCCCGACGGAACCGGACCATCCCCTCACCCGCCCTCGCCAGCCCCTCACGCCCTCTCCTCCCCACAAGGCGACCATGATGAAGATCTCGGACCCAATCCTCTTCGGGCACGCGGTCACCGTCTTCTTCAAGGAGCGGATCCAGCCGAGACACATTGAGATGCGGCCGAGATGCGGCCGTCTCCCGGCTCGTGCACAGAGGGGCCGCCCACCCTCGAGCTGCTCTCCGCCTCGCCTCTCCCGCGTCTGAGCCGCCGCCCGCCCCCCCCCCCCTGACCCGCCGCAAAGCAGGACCTGGTCGACCCCACTACTGAGGCGGGCAAGGCGGTCGCCGCGGCCGGCTTCAACCCGAACAACGGCCTCGGCGACCTGTACGATCGGATGGAGGCGATGAGCGCGCCGGACAAGGCGGCGGTCCAAAAGGCGATCGACGCGTGCTACGCGTCGCGGCCCGGGCTGGCGATGGTCGACTCGGCGCGCGGCATCACCAACCTGCACGTGCCCTCGGACGTCATCATCGACGCGTCGATGCCGTGCGTCGTGCGCGACAGCGGCAAGATGTGGAACAAGGAGGACGCGCTCGAGGATGTCATCTGCATCATCCCCGACCGCTGCTACGCGACGATGTACGAGGCGTGCCTGCAAGACTGCCGCAAGAATGGCCAGTTCGACGTGTCGACGATGGGCTCCGTGTCCAACGTCGGGCTGATGGCGAAGAAGGCCGAGGAGTACGGCTCCCACGACAAGACCTTCGAGCTGCCCTGCGCTGGCAAGGTGCAGGTGGTGGACAACCAGAGCCATGAGGTCGTCATGGCGCACGACGTGGCTGCGGGCGACATCTGGCGGATGTGCCAGACCAAGGACGCGCCCATCCGCGACTGGGCACCGCCTCGATGGCGCACCAAGGGGCCGCGAGTGCGAGGCGCACCGACGCCGTGTGTCGCGGGAATAGGTGCGGCTCGCCGTCGCGCGCGCACGCGCGACCGGCGACGCCGCCATCTTTTGGCTCGATCCGAGCCGCGCCCACGACCAATCGCTGATTGCGAAGGTCGAGACGTACCTCAAGGACCACGACACAGCCGGCCTCTACCTCTCCGTCAAGAAGCCGGTCGACGCGATCGACGAGTCGATGGCGCGCGCGCGCGCCGGTGCGAAGCGCGTCGGCGACGGCCATGCGTGACACGGTCGGTGTGAGTGCGAGAGGGATTGGCTACAGGCAAGGACACCATCTCGGTGACGGGCAACGTGTTGCGCGACTACCTGACCGACCTCTTCCCCATCATCGAGCTGGGCACGAGCGCCAAGATGCTCTCCATCGTGCCCCTCCTTGCGGGCGGCGGCCTCTTCGAGACGGGCGCCGGAGGCACGCCAAATACTGCGAAAAAATCCGCCGCCACCGCCAAACATCCCCCCCCCCCCCTTCCTCCACCCGCCGCCGCCGTCGGACACACCGCCATGCCTATCGACCACCGCCCCAGCCGCGCCGCCAAAGCACCGCGCTCCCAGCACCAGCCTCGCGTGACGCGCTGTCCACGCCGCGTCCGTAGGCTCGGCGCCGAAGCACGTGCAGCAGTTCGTGCAGGAGGGGCACCTGCGGTGGGACTCGCTCGGCGAGTACCTCGCGCTCGCCGTCTCGCTCGAGGACCTCGCCGCCAAGGGCAACCCGAAGGCGCAGGTGCTCGGAGACGCCCTCAACGAGGCCATCGGGCAGCTGCTCGACGAGCGAAAGTCGCCCTCGCGCAAGGTGAATGAGATCGACAACCGTGGCTCGACCTTTTTTATCGCCAAGTATTGGGCGTCGGCGATGGCAGACCGCGACGACACCTTCTCCGAGCTCGCGAAGAGCCTGAGCGCCAATGAGGAGGTGATAGCCGCGGAGCTGATCGAGTGCCAGGGGGGCGCGCAGGACATCGGCGGCTACTGGCTGCCCGACCCTGCCAAGGCGGACGCGGCGATGCGCCCTTCAAAGACGCTGAACAAGATCATCAGCACGTGAGACTCCCCGGGCGGCGAGCTCACCGTCGGAGGCGTCGAGGCTGTCGCGTGGTGGCACACACCACAGCTGGCGGGCGTGTCTGAGAGCCCGTTTACTACACGCCGAGCATGTGCTTCCTCGGAGTTCCATCGTTTTCTGACTATTTTATTAGACCAGCGAGACCCGCGCCCACGTTGAATACAATGCGCGTAAGGCGTATGTGCGCCCAGCGGACTTTAACATTCAACAAGTTCGTTCGAAATTCGGTTATCGAAAAGTGGACGGTGGACGCTCTCTCGACGCGTCTCAAGACGGGGCGTGGACATGGCGGGCGCGTGACTTGTGCCGGTTCTACACGGATGGTCTCAGCGGCACGTACGTGCCTACACCAAGGCTCCGTTCTCCACCGCCTCTCCGGCCTTTTTGCCGTGGGATCGACCTAGCAGGTAGGTGAGGAGAGAAACCGTGGCTCCAATCATGCCTCCTGCGACCAAGAGGGCATCTCCAACCTTGGGTGCTGCGACTGCCGTGGGCTCGGCAACGACACGGCTTGGCATCACCATCGCGCGGGCCGTCGTCGCCGCTCCACCGATGTCGCCCGAGAACACGTTTTTGAAGAAACCAAACATGGCCTTGGGGTGGTCGACCTCCGCCTTTGCCTCGTAGTTGCAGGCCTCATCGTCCTTGAGCTCGAACTCCTTGAGAAGACCCGCCACCTTCTTGAGCGCCTACAACCCACCCAAAAGACTCGGCGACTGGGGTCCGGGAGAGCGAGAGGGAGAAGGCGCACGTCAGCAAGGCGATAGCCGGCGAGGGTGATGCGCTTCTGGCAGACATCCTTCGCGTCGGCGCGGTACTTTGGTGTGAGTGGCCCGTTGAACACCAGGTCGTCGTTGTACGCGTAAATCTTTGCGTACTCGGACGACTCGACCAGAATGTGAGCGAAGACGTCCTTGCACTCCTGGGTCGGCTTGCGGACGTACTGCCCCTCGGGGCAGAGTCCCCGAGGGGGGAACGTGCGGGTGGACACTTCACACAGCGAAGCCCAGCAATTCCTGAACTCCTCTTCGATCGTCTCGTATTCGGGGAAGAAATCTTTGGGGAACTTGTCTGTCAGGGTCACCGCCTCTGAGTCGATGAATGCGCGGAGCTCTGGCACGAGCGGCCAGCTGTCATTGTAGTACAGGCCTACAGATATGCACGTGGCGTGCGCGTGGTGTGGTGCGGGCGGTAGCACAGCTGCACTCGCCGGGGAGCGCCTCCGGCGGCGTCCCAGAAATCGTGCAAGTTGCCGGCCGCTTCCCACTCCAGGTTGCTGGCCTTGGCGTCAAAGAAGGTGAACCCGCCGCCGGCGTCGCCGCGCAGCTGTCCATCAGGCCCCGCCCACGGGTTTCCAGGCTTGGCGTACATGCCGGCCGCGTGGAGCGGCTGGTGGATGTCGCCCATAAGGTGAAGCATATAGCGAAGGTTGAGGTTGAGCGACCAAAGGTTGGTGCTCGTGCCGAGAGAGTACAGCGTCTCGCCGAGGGCCCACACAATGTGGTCCTCCGCGTAGATGTCTTGCTCCTCCTCGGACAGCTCCACGCCATCGGGGTTGATCGGAACCTGCGGGTAGGCATAAGCGGGCGCATTTATGCGTGCTGGTGGCGGCGGGGGCAGATGAGCAGACGGCACGTTGCGCTGATTACGGCTTTCTACTTTCCCACACATCAGCATAGTGCCACGAGCTGAACTTGCGGTCGGCCACTGCACCGGCGTAGAGGCGGTGGTCCCCGCTTGCAAACTTGCAGTCCTGCTCGTCGCGGTCACACTTTGCTGTGTCAAGCCACACCGCAGCCGTCGTCAGGTCGGAGGTGTTGGGGAAGAAGGGCTGCCAGTCATCGAGCAGCATGCTCAGCGTCTTCTTTTCCGACTCGGTCAGCGAGAGCTGGGCGACTTGGGAGATGAGGGTGTGAGCGATGGTGTGCCACCCATAGCACGTGGCCAGCGCCGCAAATAGGGCCGAGACGCGAAGCATCGCCCCGAATGGCTGGATGATCGATCGGCGGGTCGTCGCTTCAATTTCCCGTCCGGGGCGGACAGGAGGCCGACGGAGGATACTCGTACAAAGACTCTGCCAGGCCAGTCTGGTTCGGCACTCGCGCTACGGCTAGGGGGAGAAGGAGCAGTTCACGTTCGGGTATGTTCCGAAAGAATACACTACTGGAAAGCATTCCACCAAACACAATCCCGGAGAACTAAGGACGTACCTTAAGATACAAAAAAAAGGGAGAAGAGGAATGGGGGTAAGAGAAAAGGGTCCGGTTTAAAAGTTTACCAAAGAAGTGTGCGGGCGGAGCAAGAAGAAAGCTAGCGCCGACCATCGGCGGGCACCACACAGCAGGGGCAACACCTCGCGTCTTCGCGCGCGACGCTGAACGCTCAGCTGCTGCTCGTGAATGCCATCGCAATCCGGCTGCGCTCGCACACGCCGACCCGCATGGGCCATACACCGTCAAAGGTCCCTCTCCACTCCTCCTTGCACCACTGAAGCATATGCAGCTGATGCGAGCAAGGTCGCCTAAGCGGCCCCCCTCGCTGTGGGTTGCCGTAGTTGGACCAATGCCACGCGTTGTGGCGAAGATGGCCTTATGCAGAGCCTGGCCGGGCCGTCTTCGGGCCCGGCCGCCCTAACAGTACGACGCATACGCGCCGCGACCGCTTCAAGTGTCGCCGCCGCCGCAAGGCGGACGGCGCCCGCCGCCCAGCCAACAGTGGCTAGGGCGGGGGGAAGGTGGATTCGAGCCGCCCGCACGCTCGTGCGGTAGGGAGGCTCTGTAGAGCACGCCGTGCGCAAGCACAGGTGCGCGTTTGAAGCATTCGAGTCGCAGCAGCGGAGGCTGCTGCTTACTGGTTTGTGGCACGCCACGCGTCTCGCGCGGTGAGTGCTGAGATACGCCCCGAGCACGATCGCCGGGGCGGCTGCATGACTAGAACGACCCGTGCCGTGGCACAGGTCGAGTAGAGAGGGCCGCACACGCGTCCTTGCGGGCGGCCCGTTGTGAAGGATCGAGCACACCGAAGCGAGGTGTGCTCGTGTTGCAAGTGTCGCCGCCGCCGCAAGGCGGACGGCGCCCACCGCCCAGCCAACAGTGGCTAGGGCGGGGGAAGGGTGGATTCGAGCCGCCCGCACGCTCGTGCGGCCGGGAGGCTCGTGTAGAGCACGCCGTGCGCAAGCACAGGTGCGCGTTTGAAGCATTCGAGTCGCAGCAGCGGAGGCTGCTGCTTACTGGTTTGTGGCACGCCACGCGTCTCGCGCGGTGAGTGCTGAGATACGCCCCGAGCACGATCGCCGGGGCGGCTGCATGACTAGAACGACCCGTGCCGTGGCACAGGTCGAGTAGAGAGGGCCGCACACGCGTCCTTGCGGGCGGCCCGTTGTGAAGGGTCGAGCGCGCCGAAGCGAGGTGTGCTCGTGTTGCAAGTGTCGCCGCCGCCGCAAGGCGGACGGCGCCCGCCGCCCAGCCAACAGTGGCTAGGGCGGGGGGAAGGTGGATTCGAGCCGCCCGCACGCTCGTGCGGTAGGGAGGCTCGTGTAGAGCACGCCGTGCGAGAGCACAGTTGCGCGTTTGAAGCATTCGAGTCGCAGCAGCGAAGGCTGCTGTTTACTGGTTTGTGGCACGCCACGCGTCTCGCGCGGTGAGTGCTGAGATACGCCCCGAGCACGATCGCCGGGGCGGCTGCATGACTAGAACGACCCATGCCGTGGCACAGGTCGAGTAGAGAGGGCCGCACACGCGTCCTTGCGGGCGGCCCGTTGTGAAGGGTCGAGCACACCGAAGCGAGGTGTGCTCGTGTTGCAAGTGTCGCCGCCGCCGCAAGGCGGACGGCGCCCGCAGCCCAGCCAACGGTGGCTAGGGCGGGGGAAGGGTGGATTCGAGCCGCCCGCACGCTCGTGCGGCCGGGAGGCTCGTGTAGAGCACGCCGTGCGCAAGCACAGGTGCGCGTTTGAAGCATTCGAGTCGCAGCAGCGACGGCTGCTGTTTAGAGGTACTGGTTTGTGGCACGCCACGCGTCTCGCGCGGTGAGTGCTGAGATACGCCCCGAGCACGATCGCCGGGGCGGCTGCATGACTAGAACGACCCGTGCCGTGGCACAGGTCGAGTAGAGAGGGCCGCACACGCGTCCTTGCGGGCGGCCCGTTGTGAAGGATCGAGCACACCGAAGCGAGGTGTGCTCGTGTTGCAAGTGTCGCCGCCGCCGCAAGGCGGACGGCGCCCGCCGCCCAGCCAACAGTGGCTAGGGCGGGGGGAAGGGTGGATTCGAGCCGCCCGCACGCTCGTGCGGCCGGGAGGCTCGTGTAGAGCACGCCGTGCGCAAGCACAGGTGCGCGTTTGAAGCATTCGAGTCGCAACAGCGAAGGCTGCTGCTTACTGGTTTGTGGCACGCCACGCGTCTCGCGCGGTGAGTGCTGAGATACGCCCCGAGCACGATCGCCGGGGCGGCTGCATGACTAGAACGACCCGTGCCGTGGCACAGGTCGAGTAGAGAGGGCCGCACACGCGTCCTTGCGGGCGGCCCGTTGTGAAGGGTCGAGCACACCGAAGCGAGGTGTGCTCGTGTTGCAAGTGTCGCCGCCGCCGCAAGGCGGACGGCGCCCGCCGCCCAGCCAACGGTGGCTAGGGCGGGGGAAGGGTGGATTCGAGCCGCCCGCACGCTCGTGCGGTAGGGAGGCTCGTGTAGAGCACGCCGTGCGCAAGCACAGGTGCGCGTTTGAAGCATTCGAGTCGCAGCAGCGACGGCTGCTGTTTACTGGTTTGTGGCACGCCACGCGTCTCGCGCGGTGAGTGCTGAGATACGCCCCGAGCACGATCGCCGGGGCGGCTGCATGACTAGAACGACCCGTGCCGTGGCACAGGTCGAGTAGAGAGGGCCGCACACGCGTCCTTGCGGGCGGCGCGTTGTGAAGGGTCGAGCGCGCCGAAGCGAGGTGTGCCCGTGTTGCAAGTGTCGCCGCCGCCGCAAGGCGGACGGCGCCCACCGCCCAGCCAACAGTGGCTAGGGCGGGGGAAGGGTGGATTCGAGCCGCCCGCACGCTCGTGCGGTAGGGAGGCTCGTGTAGAGCACGCCGTGCGAGAGCACAGTTGCGCGTTTGAAGCATGGAGTCGCAGCAGCGAAGGCTGCTGTTTACTGGTTTGTGGCACGCCACGCGTCTCGCGCGGTGAGTGCTGAGATACGCCCCGAGCACGATCGCCGGGGCGGCTGCATGATTAGAACGACCCGTGCCGTGGCACAGGTCGAGTAGAGAGGGCCGCACACGCGTCCTTGCGTGCGGCCCGTTGTGAAGGATCGAGCACACCGAAGCGAGGTGTGCTCGTGTTGCAAGTGTCGCCGCCGCCGCAAGGCGGACGGCGCCCGCCGCCCAGCCAACAGTGGCTAGGGCGGGGGAAGGGTGGATTCGAGCCGCCCGCACGCTCGTGCGGCCGGGAGGCTCGTGTAGAGCACGCCGTGCGCAAGCACAGGTGCGCGTTTGAAGCATTCGAGTCGGAGGCTGCTGTTTACTGGTTTGTGGCACGCCACCGCCACGCGTCTCGCGCGGTGAGTGCTGAGATACGCCCCGAGCACGATCGCCGGGGCGGCTGCATGATTAGAACGACCCGTGCCGTGGCACAGGTCGAGTAGAGAGGGCCGCACACGCGTCCTTGCGGGCGGCCCGTTGTGAAGGGTCGAGCGCGCCGAAGCGAGGTGTGCTCGTGTTGCAAGTGTCGCCGCCGCCGCAAGGCGGACGGCGCCCGCAGCCCAGCCAACAGTGGCTAGGGCCGGGCAAAGGTGGATTCGAGCCGCCCGCACGCTCGTGCGGTAGGGAGGCTCGTGTAGAGCACGCCGTGCGCAAGCACAGGTGCGCGTTTGAAGCATTCAAGTCGCAGCAGCGAAGGCTGCTGCTTACTGGTTTGTGGCACGCCACGCGTCTCGCGCGGTGAGTGCTGAGATACGCCCCGAGCACGATCGCCGGGGCGGCTGCATGACTAGAACGACCCGTGCCGTGGCACGGGTCGAGTAGAGAGGGCCGCACACGCGTCCTTGCGGGCGGCCCGTTGTGAAGGATCGAGCACACCGAAGCGAGGTGTGCTCGTGTTGCAAGTGTCGCCGCCGCCGCAAGGCGGACGGCGCCCGCCGCCCAGCCAACAGTGGCTAGGGCGGGGGGAAGGGTGGATTCGAGCCGCCCGCACGCTCGTGCGGCCGGGAGGCTCGTGTAGAGCACGCCGTGCGCAAGCACAGGTGCGCGTTTGAAGCATTCGAGTCGCAACAGCGGAGGCTGCTGCTTACTGGTTTGTGGCACGCCACGCGTCTCGCGCGGTGAGTGCTGAGATACGCCCCGAGCACGATCGCCGGGGCGACTGCATGACTAGAACGACCCGTGCCGTGGCACGGGTCGAGTAGAGAGGGCCGCACACGCGTCCTTGCGTGCGGCCCGTTGTGAAGGATCGAGCACACCGAAGCGAGGTGTGCTCGTGTTGCAAGTGTCGCCGCCGCCGCAAGGCGGACGGCGCCCGCAGCCCAGCCAACAGTGGCTAGGGCGGGGGAAGGGTGGATTCGAGCCGCCCGCACGCTCGTGCGGTAGGGAGGCTCGTGTAGAGCACGCCGTGCGCAAGCACAGGTGCGCGTTTGAAGCATTCGAGTCGCAGCAGCGACGGCTGCTGCTTACTGGTTTGTGGCACGCCACGCGTCTCGCGCGGTGAGTGCTGAGATACGCCCCGAGCACGATCGCCGGGGCGGCTGCATGATTAGAACGACCCGTGCCGTGGCACAGGTCGAGTAGAGAGGGCCGCACACGCGTCCTTGCGGGCGGCCCGTTGTGAAGGATCGAGCACACCGAAGCGAGGTGTGCTCGTGTTGCAAGTGTCGCCGCCGCCGCAAGGCGGACGGCGCCCGCAGCCCAGCCAACAGTGGCTAGGGCGGGGGAAGGGTGGAATCGAGCCGCCCGCACGCTCGTGCGGTAGGGAGGCTCTGTAGAGCACGCCGTGCGCAAGCACAGGT